GAAAAGACTGATCTGACGTTGCAAATCCTGTGCTCTTCCATCTCAAAGGAATCTGGTGTCATTTCCATGTTAGCTGCCAAACTATTCCTGGCTGCTGATCGCTAACAGGCTATTTTTACGTTGATGAACGGTGGAAAACATGCCTTGCCTGTAACTGTGCTGCTGCCTTCTTTAGTCAAAAGATGTTTGTCACTGTCCATGTGCAAAACCAATGCTGAGTCAGTTGTATGTACACCCACACAGATCTGCTGTGAGTGTGCCTGCTTGCTGCAAGGCTTTGAGAATAAGGAGGGTAAGCAATCAATGTAGCCACATCCCAAGAGTTCCCGTTCTGTCTACTGTGTAAGTCTCCCATAGCCACTTGTCCAAAGCTGCCATCTAAACTTAGAGTGGCCTGGCCTGACAGCATGCTGCGGCTTAAAAACTTGTCTTGAGAATCTGTATTTCCTTAGACCAAATGTGCACTCATACCTTCTAATTTATTAAAAAGAAAAGGAACTGGCAGGAACTTACTGTGGTAAGAGGTATTGCATGTGATTTGTATCTCTTCCCTGCCATCTTGAGTAATCTCATTTCTGTGTCTTGCCCTACCCATTTTAGATTACAGTCTCCTCTGAGGAAGAGCTGGGGTGTTTTTGTGGTTTTTTTGTGGTTTGTTTTTTTTTTTTTTTTTGCTGTGCACATATGTATTCCGCCCTCCCATACCATCACATATATTTGTCAGTCTTCCGTATGATATATTCTGTTAATGAAGATACGCATATTTAGCATCCTTGACCTGCATCTTCTGAGATAAAGTGGAATTAGGAAAAAGGGGGTAAACATACAATTCCACTAAGAAGTCAAACAGCACATCTTCAAAAATACTCATGCATGCAGTGCTGCTCATGGCAGGGAGGTGGTGGTGTGTGTGACTTGTGCACCATTGGGGTGAATGTCCCAAAAGCTTCCAGAGGAGCAGAATACAGCTGCTGTTTTCCTCATTAGTGCTTAGCCAGGTGATGATCAATACAAGGCAATGAGCTCATTCTGGTACTAAACTGTCCTGTGAGCTAACTGATCACTGAGTATTTATTGTTCTTTTTTTCAGGTAAACATATAGACACAGCACTGGTGTAAAGTGCCAGCTTGATAAAAAGTGTGCACAGGAGGAGAGTTGCAAAAGAAAGGGCAGATCAATTTACTCCTTGTCCATCCAGCCCATGGCTGCCTGGCTCAGTGTGTCACTAGGGCGTGGGGAGTTGGTAGCGTTCATAGTCCAGTCAGGCAGTAGAAAGACTGCATTTACTTATGTTATCTGCAAGTCTGTGTTGCTGCTAAGTTCATCTTGCTTTTGACTGAGTGTCCCCCAGGGAGTTGACGGTCTGGTGTTCTGTCAAAGATTGCAGTGTCTTCAGCGATTTCTGTGAGCACAGATTCTTCATATTTACATTAGCACAGCATGAGGATCCTTAAAAACCCACTGTAGCTAATGTGTTTTATTGTTTATTTAAACAGATAACTTGGACATCTGCACATTGCAGCAGAGCAGGAGATATGCAACCTGCAGAGGTCCAACAGGAGTCTATAGTCAGTTATCTCCCACTCAGCCACATAGCTGCGCAGATCTATGACCTGTGGACTGGAATTAAATGGGGCGAGCAAGTTTACTTCGCTGAGCCAGATGCTCTGAAGGTATCCGTCTTGTATTGCACCCAATTAAGCTTGCACTTCTTCCTCTTAGAAAACATCCCAAGGAGACAATATGGTCTTTGAAGAGATGCAGAAGATGAAGATCGAGAGTTCATTATTGTAAGAATTATGGAAAAATAAAATATGTTAGACTTGTGTTCCAGTGCTCTAGACTCCAGTTAAAATGTATAATCCAGATCCATAAGCTTCTAATAAGGCACAGGAATATGCATCTAAGGCAAAAGAAGTATAAACAATTTTTGGAGGAAAGGGAGGCAGAAGGAACTAAACCACTGGTGCGTTTTCATTCTTGTATATGTACTTCCCCTGATGTCAGAGCTGACATATGTTAGTGCGTATGTCTGACTGAAGCAGGTTCA